AGATGTTTGTTGTAATTCCGTTGTTTAAATTCTGCACTCTGAACTTGGTACTGTAATAAGATATTTCTAAGAACTCTGGTTGTATGAAATGGACTAAGTATTGTAAACTCGTTCTCATTATTGGATCATAGAGGAAAAACGTAGATTATTCGAGTTCTCCCTTGGGGTGTGCCCGACGGAATCCGCCCGATGTAGCTTGCTTTTGGGGTGCTTAGTGTCTGGTGGAAGACAAGCGTCTCCAAAGGTGTGTTATTTCGGACGGTTATGCCACAGATGTCTGCACTAATTCATAACAAACATTGTTTGTCATGTCTAAAGCTATATATCATGATTGCTTCTTTATCATTCGTGGTTGCCTGAAGAGTAGCTATAGGTGCCTAGGTATTCGTGTTGTTTTCCTTAATTTGGTCACATTATTAATGGGCACATAATAATATTAACTTGCATTGATCTAGTTTGTGCCTAGAGTGTAGGTGTGGTGGGCACTTGTTGAAATCTAGTGCTGTAGGTAGCTCAAGTGAAGTCTGAAGTAAATATAATCAAACACGAAACTCAAAAGGAACTAATTAACTCAAGTCTATTTTAAAGTTTTTATATGCATCGGATGGTTCTTCCAAGTTTTTTGGAGTCTTATTAAGAACGACATAATGGCCATGTTTAAAGGCTTTCATCTTGGAAGGCTCCTTCTCTTTAGCTTGAACTTTGGGACCATAGCCCTAATTACAAAGCAGAAGGAGGTCAATCAGATCCAGCAGTATAGGCCAATTTGCATGCTTAATGTTAGTTTCAAGATCTTTACAAAAGTCCTAGCTAATAGGTTGATAGGGGTAGCCAATAAAGTAGCGAGGCTATCGCAAACAACCTTTTTGCTAGGAAGAAGCATATTGGAGGGGCATGTGGTGTTGCATGAAACCATACAAGAGTTGCATAAATTGAAAAAGGATGGTGTCATCCTCAAACTTGATTTTGAAAAGGCTTATGACAAAGTAATTTGGCCCTTTTTGCAATAAGTGTAAAGAATGATGGGTTTCTCTCCAGTGTGGTGTAAATTGATTAGAAAAAGTTGCTATCAAAGGAAGTGTAGGGGTTAAGGTGAATTAGGAAATTGGTCATACTTTTTAGACCAGAAAAGGCCTTAGATAGAGAGACCCTCTCTCCTCCCCTATCCTTTTTTAATATAGTAGCGTGTATATGTTGGCTATCCTTGTGGCCAGAGCTAAGATCAATGGCCAATTGAAGGGTATGGTGCCACACCTGGTGAATGATGGACTCTTGCAAATGATACTTTACTCTTTATGCAAAATAATATTGATGAAGCCAGGAACTTGAAGGTAGTACTAGGTGCTTTCGAGAAGTTGTCTATCTTGAAAATTAATTTCTATAAGAGTGAGTTGTTTTTCTTTGGCTCAGCTAGGGACCGGAGCAGTATAAAGAAGTTCACGGAGCTTTTTGGTTGCAAGGAAGGGAGCTTTCCATTTTGTTATTTAGGAATGCCAATGTATTTTCAAATGTTATCAAATAAGGATGGGAATTTAGTGGAAGAGCATTTTGAAAAAAAATGCTTAGTACGTAGTTGGAAAGGAGAACTCCTATCTTCCAGTGGTAGACTAGTGTTGATTAACTCGGTTCTATCTAGTCTTTCCATGTTCATGATGTCCTTGTTTGTGGTTCCTAAAGGAGCACTTAAAAAGCTGGATTATTACAGATCCAGGCTTTTCTGACAATGTGATGAACTAAAGAAGAAGTATGGGCTTGCTAAGTGGAGTTTATTTTGCAAGCCAAGGTGCATGGGAGGTCTAGACGTCTTGAAATTTGCTCAAAATTGCTATCTGCTCAGTAAATGGTTGTTCAAGTTGTTGAATGAGGAGGGTCTTTGGCTGGAGGTGCTTAAAAATAAGAATTTAAAGGATAAGTGCTCGGAACCCGTGGTAATTAAAGAAGCCGAGTGATTCTCATTTTTGGGCAGGTCCTATGGACGTCAGACCTTATGCTAAAACATGGGAAGTTCAAGATAAATAATGGGAATGAGACTAGTTTTTTTTGGGACGATCTTTGGATTGGTCAGGAACCTTTAAAAGTGAAGTTTCCTTCCTTGTACGTACATATTAGTAAGGAGAAAGGGGGATTCGGTAGCCAAAGTGGTAAGCATGACCCCTTTGAACATATCATTTAGAAGGGCGTTATTAGTCGGTGAAAGGTTGGATGATTGGTTGAATTTGGTCTCCTTAGTTGTGCCCTTCCATTTGAATGAGAATAAGGATAGATTTCTGGCGGTCGAGGAAATGGTGAATTTTATGTGGGGAGATCATGAAGAAAGAGACAAATGGTGGGAAAGATGTTATGGAAGGCAAAGCTCCCAATAAAAATAAAGATTTTCCTCTGATATTTAAAAAGAGAGGTCGTACTTACAAAAGATAACTTGTTAAAAAGGGGTGGAAAGGGACACTAGATTGAGCTTTTGTGGTTCAAAGGATACAGTGAAATCATCTCTTTTTCGAGTGTTGTATGGCAATATTCTTGTGGAATGCATTTTCATTGCTTTCAACTTTCAACCAAACAAAAATAATATTCATATGTTTGGCTCATGGCTTAGGGATTTTATTCCAAATTTGAGAAGCCAAAAAATGGTGAGTGTGCCAGCGATGTGCTAGGCTTTGTGGTTGAATAGAAATGATACAATGTTCTATAAGAAAAATTCTAACTCCTTGCATGTAATTTTTAGAGGAACTTACTGGATCAAGCAATGGTCCCAGTTATCTAAGAGGAAGAGATAATAGTGCTAAAGAATGGATGCATATGTTTGGAGGATATGATGTTAGAGGTTTTTGGAAGAGCGGGTTGGAAGCATAGAGGGTCTGGAGATATAAGTGTCTTTGTTTTTTTATGTTTTGTGATGACTTTGTTGTGTGTGCTCTACGAAGTGGAGAGTATCATTTGGACCATTTTTAATGATTGGTTGTACCCATTCACTAGTGAACGTTGGAAGGGAATACTTTATTCCTTAATCTAAAAAACAAATAGGTATAGGGGAGATACATGGGTCACCTCTACATTCCTAAAAGAACAATTTTCTAGTATGTATAATGCAGTTAGTTGCCCTCACGCTACTGTGGAGCAGTCATGAATCAAACACCTTTTAGGCCCCGTTTGGGACGGTTTCTCCACCGGGCTTTAGGAGCCGTTTTGTGCCAAACAAGATAAAACAAAACGGCCTTACCAGAAAGCCCTTTAAATCGTGCTCCCACATAGGATCGAGGTGGGATGGAGCTGAAAATAGTGGATTCACCCAACTTGGCCCTACATTGAGTTCTATGAGATCAATTCACGAAGTTGTAAAAAATCCAGTCAAAGTTTTCAGTGGTTTAAATAATTTTTGTTTAGCCCCCTCTGGAATTTGTGTCAGAACTAGTATGTCTCGCAGGTGCTAGTCCGATGAATCATAGTCCAGTCTCAGTGGGAGTTTCATATGAGTTTCATTTGCATTAAATAGGTTGCCACATAGGCATTTTTTATGACATGGCACTGTATTTCAGAAGAGAGAAGAATGATGAGTTTGGTACGATTACCAACTCTCTATAGGTCTTGAAATTAAATGCCTATGAAACCATAGAATGAAACTCTCCATTGAGAGTGGGTGTTTTATCCAAGTTTCATTTCATTTTGTATGACATAGCAGCCTTGGAACAATGCCATAAAACTCTCAAGTGAGACTAGCCTAACCGTCCAGAAACGCTGCTCAACAGTTGCCGAGGGTCGTCTTTTTATCTTTCTGTGATCCAGTGTCTATGTAGTGGGGGGGGTCGAGTCTATGTATGACTCTCTTTTTTCTATTAATACAATGATACGCAGCTCTCCTACGCATTCGAGAAAAAAAGTTGCCGAGGCACTAACAGGGCCATGTACAATGACGTGCCAACTACAACCAGCGAGCTATTGATGGATCAATCGATAGTCATGGTAGCTGCCTGCCTCCACTAGCTAGCTATGCATACAGAGGTACCTAGTAGTTTAATTTCTGTCATTTATAATTGTTCTTTGATCTTTCTGGAGAGCTCATTATTGAAGCTATAGGTACCAGCAGCTTAATAATTATATATATAATTGCCGTCTTGGATTCAAGGTCAACATTAGCAACAGCTGACACGCCGTATGTTTGGCAGCAAAGGAAGCAATGAAGAATTCAAATGGAGTAACAGCGGCTGCTCAACAACCTGATGATACTCTATAAAGTAGCTATAGCTTAAGTAGCTACTAAACTTACTGAATTAGCAACTCAGTGTATGTAGTAGATCCCAGAAGGAACACATATACATATGGCAGACCAGGGGAGTACACATAAGAAAGTTTAATCATATATATATGATGAACAACAACTATTTGATCAACTATATATGTGGGAATGAAAAATCCATTTACAAATTACAACAACTTGAGGAACATGTTGACATAGATTTTTTTTTTTTTGCAGGTTTACCGAATTCCACTGAATCACTGGTCACAAAAGTAAAGTAATCCTTGTCCCTCTACACTCTACATAGAGTTAGGCAGAAGTAGAGGTGACTCAAAGGTAGCTGAGTTTTCCCGGCCGGCCCTTGCATTCATATATTCATCTGGATGCATCCTCTAGTTACACATATCCACCGCTCTCATATTTTCCCATCCACACAAACAAAATAAAAAAACCAACAAACAACAACAACAACAAAACTAAACAAAAACAACTAGTGTAGCTAGCTTATGTATATATCTGATCTTCTTATTACGAAAATAAAAGAGTTTCTTCAATTTCAGCCCCGGTTGAAAGACTTGAAGCTCTGACCTCCGAATGGGATTTTGCACAGGGAGCTTGCATTTGCATTGACGGATGGCGAGACACGATGGTGTACATATATGTGTGGTAGATGGAGAGCTATTAGTAGTAGAAGAAGAGAGTGTGATGCTTGCGATTTTATATAAACTGATGAGGACTGACTGATGACTGATGCTGAGAAGTTGAGACGTCAGACGTCGACGATGCACGGTGCTGCGCGCTGGAACTTGAAGTAGCCGAGCCCCCCACCGGCGTTGGAGCCGTAGCTTCCCTGTCCGTCGTTGACGGTGAGCAGCGCGGGGCACCGGACCCTGAGGTGGTAGTGGCTGGTGATGAACGCCCCGGCCTTCCACCGGATCCATCCATCGACGCGGATGGTGACGAGCAGGTACCCCGCCGTCTCGTCCTGCGTGAGCGCGGTGGCGAGGTAGACCGGCAGCGGGACGTTGGAGGCGGAGAGGAACGGCGCCCAGACGGTGGCGTCGTTGGGCGGCTGGAAGAAGGGCGGCAGCGAGGTGGGCACGGTGATCTGCATCGCCCGGTACTCGGCGTACACGTCGGCGCTGTCGTAGTAGATGCCGACGCGGTCGTTGGTGTTGCGCGACGCCAGCGTAGCCTGCATGGTGACGGTGAGGTAGGAGGCGGAGCTGACGTTGATGCACACGATGCTCACGTCGTTGAGGAAGAACCGGGGCTTCGTCGGGCGCAGGACCAGCCACACGATGAGCACGATGAGGAGGAGGAGCAGGATGATGCCCACCAGGGCGGCGCAGAAGCGGCGGTACAGACGCTGCCGCTCGCAATCCTTGTGCTGGTCGCAGTACTTGATCGACATTTCTGATGCTTTCTTCTTCTTCTTCTTCTTTCTTTTTCTTCTTTTTGATTTGCGCTACACTCCACCTATATACTCCTGTAGTAGACAGCTGTTTGTTTCTGCTTGCTTGCTATCTTCTTCTTCTTCTTCTAGTTGCTGAAAGCTGAATGAAGTATGGATGTATGATTGCACTGCAGAGAAGAGGCCAAGCAAGGAAGTATGGAAGGGAAGGCTGGTTTTGCTTTGCCAACTATGGGGGCAGCTCGCCTCGCTCACTCAGTGACAAGAGAAGAGAGAAGAGCAGAGGGGCAACGCAACAACTAACAATAAGGAAGGAAGGAAGGAACTCGAAAGAAATAAGCAAGGTGTAGTGTTTATAAGCCAGTAAGACCCAGACGTGCTATAAGCTAGTACTAACTAGTACGACTTACAATTCTTACAATTGTACTCCATGGATTATATATATCTGTACGGACTTGCTCAAGACTTGGCTCCAAAAAGGACGCTTATCATTCAGAACTCTGAAGAGAAGAAGAAAAGGCTCCGATCCATCCTGATAGCGTACAGGCCATTCTGAATGTGCACCGTACCGCAGTACCGAGGGAGGAAGCGAAAGCAGGGGTACATAGCTCACAAATGAAGCATCTTTCATGTGATCCAAGCTGACTTATACGCTTGTCGCTGAAATTACAAGCTACTACTTCATTTAATTTACTGACTGAAGAAATTAAGACTGATCGATGATATGATTCCATATCCATCAATAATTCAATTCCTTGGCTTGACGACGCCGGTCGCCGGTCCATCGCATCGTGTGATGATGCCGCTGTCCGCTATTATTTTCCCTCTCGCATAGCACATACCATGTGACTTGCATCCAGGCAGCTGATGCGATGCGACATCCCAAGTTCACAATTCTTTCATTCCCCAACAGGTACATGTCTGCATATACTGCTGCTACTTTTGTTCAGCAGAGCAATCATGCATGCAAAGGATTCAACAACAGCTGAACCAACAAAATTAACAATATACAAAATATATTATTGTAACTGCATAATGGCCACAAATAAATTTTACTTCATGTATACCAAGCAGCTAGCACTACTAGTAATCCTTGTTTGGAGAGGGATTATAATATCCAGCACTAGCCATTATAGTATATGTAATATCTCTGTCCATGAGCACAGTGCTGTATATCTAGAGAGAGCTTTTACTTGTGCCCTACAGGGAACAACACTCAGCTTGGAAAGTTGAAAGAGCAGTGGAGGCGGCAGGTGAGGTGTCCACGTCGATCACCATGCAGCCTGCCCCGCCTGTGCCTGGGGGTCAGTTTCAGAGCATCAGTCCACATATCTCCACGTCAATTTCTTTCTTTCTTTCCTTTTCTTCGTAAAAGAACAAATAGAAAGATAGACAAATTAAAGGCTAGAGGCTGAGCCATGCTTCTTCCTCATCACCTTATCTCACTCGCACCATATACGTTTTTCAATCAATTTCTGAGCCAAAAAGAAAACGTACAAAGCATGTATATAAATATATGCGCACTTAAATCGTGTTCCTCTTCTCTTCTCAGAAGTCAGGACTCAGGAAACGACACTGTCAGTCCCCACAGAACTTTCCATAACTTTGTCAGCTTCCTCCTGCCTCTTGATCATCCTCTTGTCAGGCCATCGTTCTTTTCGCTTGGGCTTGTTTGGCTGATAAGCCATGGTTGAAAGTACTGTTGGCTGATTTGGTGTGAGAGAAAAATACTATCTGTTAGCTGAAAAAGTACGGCTTATAAGCCAAACAAGCTCAAGCAAACAGGGTGCATGCTAGCAGATGGAGTTTTGTTTGGGTGCTTCTCTTAATCCCTTGCAATGCCTTAATATGATGCCAACTCAAAGTGTGATTCAGCAAAAGTTCAGTTTAGTTTAACATGATATGGTGTGGACCTATGGTTGGTTGGTGGCACATCATGTTCAAGAGACAGCAACCTCGGCACCAGCTGACGCTCAGGAAGGGATATTGGAGAATCAAGGTGGGCTCTCTCCCTACTCCTCTTTTCCTCGCTCTCCCAGTTGAGGAGTCCTGGTGCCACGCAACGACTTGGCCAGGATGCCAGGCATTGATCTCAACCCTAGGTTATCACAATCCAACGCTAGAGAATCTTGCCTGGCCCAGGCAACCTTTTGCAACAAACTCTGAACCAAACAGCCCCATACATACATACTACCAACTGAAGCAACACATCCCCACAGTCCGATCCCCACACACACAACGAAATGAATGGCCACTTGAACTGCACCCATCCCATCCATCCCATCCCATCAAAACGCATTCATACACTAGTTACTCTTTACAAATGACATTGTACTGTCTCTGAACTCCACCCCTGTATGTTGTCAGGTATGTAAACACGATCTCACATCAAAACCAATCTCCCCTTAAATTTTAATTTCGGTTGCATGCATGTGCCTTAATAATATACAATACAAGTGAACACTGGTACACCTGCATCCTTGCGTGGTCTCTAAGGGTCAAGGCTCAGGAGGGGTCAAATTAAATCTGCCGATTTCGACCCATGCATGTCCATGCCTTCTTTTCAGAACTGAATCATTTGAAGCAACCAAATTATACATCACTAGCTGAAAGGAGGTTCTCAAATTAATGATCCATCCATGAACTAGTCGAGTAGTATAACATAAAACAGACGACCAAATAAAGTATGCAGTCTCTCTACAAGCAGTGGCATGTGTTTCTTGCAGAAACCTTGGATACATGAGCACGAGTCAATATCCTTACTTCACACGCTCTTTACCTGTTTACCATCCATAACTATGACACTATTTGGGGAAAAAGTTTGAACTTTGATGTTTCTATATATCTTCTAGATCCGAAGAAAACAGAAAAGCACCTGTTGTTGCTGTTGAAGTACATTCTAGCTACCTGTATTTTTCAGCTTTGTTGGACTGACCAAACATTCATTCATACTTAGTACTAGAACGTACCCACCTGCCATCATAAAGATTACACACATCATCAGGACTTAAGGGGAAGAAGAACAAAGAAAAAACAAAGGAACATCCTTATTACTTTGATGGCAATGGTGTGGTGCTTCCGTGCTTAGTACTCCTCTCTAAGGTCAATAACAAAAAGGTGCAAACAATTAGTCATCGATCACTTTCTAACCCACTTTCTGTGATGTTGCCATGCAACAACACACATCATTTTCTATCAACTGCAAATCAGCAATCGACTCCATCCCCTACTCCTCATGGAGCCTGAAATTTGAAGCAGCAGGAAATTAGCATCGATATCACAAAGGCGCACGCACTAGCTAAGGAATTAATCGGGGGTCTAGCTAGTAGAATTAGGAACGGCATGCTTCAGTGGAGTGTTCCAGTGAAAGAGGGAATCTCCTTCTTCAGTGTTTGGTGATCAATTTGGCCCACCCATCAATGGCACTTGCTTGACAAGCATGACATCATAAAGAAGCCTTACCGGACTTATCCAGAGAGAGAGAGAGAAGAAGCCTTACCGGTGGAAGTACTTTTTGGTATGTGCAAAAAGCATCAGACTTTACAATGAAACTGAGGCTCAGGTTAAGTGCTGATTCTATTCTTACCAGAATGAAAGGATTAATTAGGTCACCAGATGCTCTGCTCTGCACAGAGAAAGTAACAATTGGAGGGCAGAAAGGGGATAACCGGGAAGAATTAAAATCACCAGCAGGAAAAGTCAAGTGGGAAAGTGCAGAGGAAAGTTAAAGAGATATGGAGCTTGCAGAATACTGAACCCAAGTATATCCAAAAGCAATGCAAGTATGCAACCTAGCAAGAGCAGAGGGTACCAATCTATATCTAAAACAAAAGGTTGAATATCGCAGATAAAGCGGATGCAGCCACCAACGTGTCATCTTTTGTGGTGTCCGCATGGATTCCTATCCAGAAATCAAAGTGTGTCCATACTCCGATCCATTACAGGAACACATAACTACATAGCTTGGTTTTAATGACGGAAAGCTGAAGTCTGAAGACGCACGCAGAGAGGTAAAGATGAACTGAGGAAGGAACTGGACCCAACTCAACCCACCCAAGCTCTGATCTGCCCGCGGGCCTTAACTTTGTGGATATAGAATATCGAAGCGGATGATGGCGTGGGCCGTTTTTTAGCCCACGGGCCGGCCCGATGATCCGAGAAAGCAGCAAAAGCAACCTACAGAAAAAGTGAGCTCGGGCTGAATGTTCGTGCTTACCGCTGTGGGGCTGCGGGCGGGCTTGGGCCAAGGGTTTTCCTTTCTTTTTCGGCCTGATGTGACCCAAGGTCTTGGCCTGATCAAGTGCTATCCAGTCCCTCAATCTCACCGAGACGACCTGGATGGACACGGCACACACCTGGACGGACCAAAGTTGGCAACCGGCGCGACGGGACACGTCGGTTGTGGTACCGTGGAGTGCAGGTGTAGGTGCAGGAGTCGAATGGGTACTCTGGCACCAGAAGCTTCATTCTTCTCCCAGACCCAGGCAGTGTTCGTCTAAACGGCTGATTAAACGGTTAGTAAACAGTAAACGATGATAAACTATTTTGTTTAGAGGGTAAATAGAAATTAAACGGTTGACCGTTTAAACGGTTAAAAACGGAAAAAAACGGCTTAAATGGAACGGAGATAAACATCATTAAACGGGCTAAACAACTGTTTAAACCGTTGTTTAGGCGAACGCGAGGTAAATCTAGTTCAGTTTTGTATAGATAAATTTATATACTTAAGTTTATTATATTTATAAATGTGTACACTTGATATGTTATATGCATAAATATCTATATTTGGTTCTTTTCACATGCATAAATATATATACATACCAAAATAATTGATTTTTACTCGGATAAATATGTATAAATGCTAGAATACTTGATTTTTTACATGCACATATATAATTATATGTATTTTTTTTTTAAAAGTACAAAACCGTTTAGACCGTTTAACTTCGTTTAAACACCATGTAAACAGACTAAATGTTAAACGAAGGGCGGCCGTGTAAAGACCGTTTACCGTTTAGGAAAACATTAGTCCCAGGTGACACATACTGTATGTATCTAACCGGCACGGCTTCGTCTTGTGCTGCCCTGACGTCACGTACGGCGCCACATGGATGCATGGCTTCACTGGTTCTAAGACTGTCTCCAACAGAAACAACCCAAACACGAAACCCATTCAATAGCATAGGTCACCTATAGTCAAAGGGTCATGGGCTCAAATCTTGCCTTCTCCAACAGACCCTGACCCCGAAGTCTTCCAACCACAAGTTCACTCGGTAAAAAAAAATCTTACCAGCCACCCCCTCCTCCTCGCAAAAAAGAAGCCGCCTGGTCTCTCTCTCGGTCTTCCCAGGCGGTGCCGGGCATGGCGACAGCACACCACCGTGGGTGGCGCAGCGGCGGCCCCTTCCCCCTCCGCCTCCTCCTCCTCCCTCTCTCTCTCTCTCTCTCTCTGCTCTCAACCTCCTCTCTCTTTGCCTCTCTCTCTCTCTCTCTCTCTCCACGTGGCGGCCCATCTAGGTGGATAGGACAAGGCGGCAGTGCACCGGCCGCCCAGGCCGGCCAACGGCGCGGGCGGCCCGACAACACCTCTCTCTCTTCCTCTCCTTCTCCCTCTCTCTAGATCTGCGGCCTCATCGGTCGGCCTCCGGCGCACCGGCATGGACAGGGGCCGGCAGTGGGCGCAACCGCCTCCCCTCCCCCCGCTGCGCTAATCTCTCTCTCTCGCGCCTTCGCTTTTGGGGTGGCGGCACGCCGCCAGGCCGCGAGCGCCGGCGGATCCCCACTGCGTGTGCGCGGCGCACCAGCATGAGCGTTCCCGAGGTCTGTGTCTTTGACACGGCGCCAGCGGCGAAGCGGGCACCGCCGGTGACCGCGGCTCCCCTGAACCTCCCTTCCCGTCGTCGTTCACTGTGTTTTGCGTCGTCGAAAGAGACGACGCTTTTTTGCCTTCCGACTCGCCTACTACGCGAAATGGCTGCCTTATTTGCGTCCTCTGTTGGAGCGTGTTTTTGGGACGCAAAACACTGTGCATGACGTATTTTGCGTTTTGATTGCCCTTTGCCTGCGTTGTTGGAGACAGTATAATTGTTGCGTGCATGGCATCATCACGGCCACCAAAACTACTCCCTCTGTCCAAAAGATAAGCTACACGATTAATTTACTTCCAAATCACATGGATCGTACCATTGATCACTACCGTACCACCCGAAAACACAAACACTCATGTTGGCTTTGTTAATTCCCGACGGTTTTTAAAATACCAACGAAAACCAAGAATAACTCATGTCGGTGGGATCTAATAGCCAGTATCCTATTAGAAGTTGATTATTTTAGCTAATGAATAAATAGGAAAAAAAGAGAGTTAAAACTTGACCAAGATAATAAATATGGCTAAGGCTCGACGGGGAGTGGGGTCATGAAAAGATTTGAATGACGTAGCTTGCTCCGCAGCTTGCTAGACCGCTTAAGGACCATGCATTTGTCGTATTGAGCCTTGAACCCCTCTTGTACAGATGGGCATGGTAAGCCTAGTAACTTATGCTTACTGGGTAACCGCATGGATTTGATGCGAGGTCGAGTGTGGGGTATAGCTAGGAAGCATAGTACCTAGGCTCACCATCAAACCGTTCATGGGCGATTCGGCCACCCTCCAGAATCAACCCTTATTCCGTGCATGGGTATGTAGGTTCGATCTTGCGCCCCGTGTGGGCACAATTATACACTTCTACAGAGTTTTGACTTATTATATCGCTCATTCAAAGGACACATTTATTTGAGTATGTTCATGGTTTGTAGCTTTAGAGTAGCCTGTTGTGATCGTGGAAGATCGGGCTCCACCCTATGCTTAATGTTCATACTTGCTAAACCTCTCTATGCTTAGATGTATAGTTAATAGACAACATTTACTTTAGACAGAAAATACTACTCCCTCCATTATCTAAATTATAAATCGTTCTAACTTTTCTAGATATATAGCTTTTACTATATATATCTAGACACGATGTATATCTTGGTGCATTGCAAAAACTATGTACTTAGAGAAGCCTGAACGACTTATAATTTGGAACGAATGGAGTATTTAGTAAGGCTAAATGTATAATCCTTCGTAGATTATTTGGGTAAGTCCTACATAGTACAACCCCGTACTCATAATGGTAGCGTTAAGTTGTTTTTACAGGTTGAAGGACTTTGGTGGTGCCATGTCATCCCACCGAAACTTGTAAAGTGGATGAATGACAGAGTCATCCGGCGACGCCCATGGACAAAGGCGCCTGCTAGTTACTTGTTAGAAGCAAAATTAGTTTGCAACATTTAGGTTCTTAAACCTAGGAAAACATGGTAGATAGCCATCTGGTTTGCATCGCATATATGCTAGGTATGAGTATTAACTAATGTTGTATGATTAACTTAGTAATTTGACAAGATATATATGTGCTCTATGTTCCTACTGATTTGTGTAATCTTTTGATAAGTTGAGCTTTGAGTTGTGACGGCTGTAGGTGTATGATATACAACCGGGATCATATATCATGCTCTAGTGAAGTTTGCAGATTGCACTCTAGGGATTTTGTAGCAACGAACAAGATGGGATCGATGTTGCTTTCCTTCATCAGTAGTAATAAGGCCGGTGATGAGAGGGAGTGCTTGGCCGGCGGGGTTGAAGATTGGAGTTGGAGGCAGCAGCTAGCAGGTGAGGTGTCCGGCACCTGTAGTTTGGGGGATCGGCCGGAGAGCTAACTCAGACCTAGTAATTTGGAACCAAGACAGAATAAAATCTAGGGATAAATTAAAAAGCAACCTATGAAGAACTAAAGTGTTCATTAAAATGGTATCCACATGGATTACCCCGAGTTCTCAAATCTACTCAGAGTCAGAGTCTGGTTCCACCCACTAAAATTTAATTGATCCCTAAAGTTTAGTAACCCCTCCAAAGTTTAGTGACCCATATTTGGTTCCACCCACTAAAACAGCTATTCTATGTACACTTTAGTCACTTTTAACCACCCCTCGGTGACTAAACCCTTAAACTTTAGTGAGGGTGTTTGACATTTTAATGACTAAAAATGACTAAAATTTAGTGATTAAAGTTTAGTGAGGGGTAAACAAACATATCCTTAAAATCTATGACTTTTTTCAGGATAAGAAATCCACGATATCATTTGAATAACATATTTAATTATTTATGAAGAGTTTTTCAGCCATGGTGTGCCTTTCCTTTGCTTCTCGCCAAAATAGCCGGCCTGGTCTGTTAAATATTGGTCGGTCGTGGTTCGTAGTTACTAAACACAGATATATGATCTATCGTACATACACACGAAGATATAGGAGTAGAGTATGTACTACTAGCTCGTACTACATCAGACAGCAGAGACATGCATGATGCATCACATGACGGTGCAGGCGTTGACGTTCTCGTCGCTGAACATGGTCATGTACTTGACCTCCGGCGCGGAGGGGTCGGCCATGGCCTGCGGCGCGCTGCGGACGAACCCTGCGGGGGCCTTCTTGTCGTAGGCGCCGCCGACGTAGGGGTAGGTGGTGAGCGCGTAGGGCACGTAGGGCCACATCTCGGCGTTCTTGCCCGTGGCCTTGACGCGCTCCAGCACCTTGGCGGGCTCCACGTACCCGGTCACCGTGCACTTGCTCTGCTTCGGGTTCACCGCCACGCTCGTCACCCCGCGCATCGACTTCACCGCGCTCTTCACCCGCCGCTCGCACCCCTCGCAGTCCATCTTCACCTTGATGTTCACCGTCTGCAGGGATCATATGCAGCGGCAAAAATTGAAGCTAGCTCCGATCCGATTCATCAATAAAACTAGTGTAAATCACAACCAACCAACCAAGCAAAGCACGTCGTACCTGCAGCGGCCGCTTCTTCCTGAGCTTGAGCGCCTCCTTCGTCTCCGTGATGCTGCACAGGTGCGACAAGTGGTCCAGGATGCCCATGGCGGCGCCGGTGTATGCTGCCGCTGCCTTGCTTCTATCTCAGCTCGCCGTCGTCCTCTTCTGTGACCGACCGACCGCCTTACTGAGCAGAGCAGAGCAGAGCTTGTGAACTGTGAAGACTAAAGAAGGATTATTGTATATAAATTATTTGATTGATGAAGCCGGCCGGCCGATCCAAGGGAAGTAGCAGGGAACTGGAGGATGGTATGTATGGTATATATAGTGGAGGCCACTGCCAAGTTCCACCCCCTAAATCAACTAGGCCGGACCCCCGGACAAAGCTCATCTGGTTTCTGCACAAAGAAAGGCTAGAGAAGATGCATCTGGCTGCAGCTTTCTCCGGCCCTTACTTGTTCAATTGGTAAGGAAAAAAAACAGACAATAAAGTTTATTAGTAGTTTGTATGGTCAGGATGGATGCCAGGCAGCCCAGGCTTTTTGTCTGCAATCATCTTCGTCTCATTATGTTGGTCCATGCTTCCATGGTATACGCACAGTAAAACAAAACGATCAAACCGCTGCTGAGCTTTCGGGATTTAGTGAGCGACGTCGACAAGGAGACGATATCCACCTTACTAGTAGCTCCTCCTTCCATGATAGGAGTGGCCCACTGCATGCCCTGCCTGATAGGCTGTCTGATTTTGATTTGACAGCGCACAGCTCTTCTTGGCCGGTCCAAACGCTGCTTGAAACGTGTGCATGAATCAAGGAAACGAAACGTTTCACTACCTACCTACCTACTACTCTGTGCATAAAAGACATGTTTATAGAGCCTAAATTGAAACCAATCTAGAAAATGCTTCAATTTTCACTGCTCGGCTATTTTCCAATAATTTCTCTTAATTCATGGAAACTAAACAGCGCCAGTATTCTTCTTTTTAAGGTCAACACCGGGAGGGGGGAAAGGCCTCCCACCTGAATTTTCATTCCACATGTGCCGGGAGGTGAAAGGATATGACGCCAATCCCAATACAAGGTTCCGAGAAGTACATAATAAGGAGAGAGAGAATACAACACTTAACAGAACAACCACAAACGCAACATGATTTAGCTACCAAGTCCGTCTACTGGCCGAAGCGACTGCAAGCACAACTTCCTAACCTATGCCACCACCAAAGACATACTCTGAAGAGCTCCACATCACATGCAGCTGTAAGATATTGAGTGGGATCTGATAGACGACAGCCAGGAAGCTGCAAGACATTGAGTCGAAGCCAACAGGCAGCAGTCGTGTGTAGCATCGCCTAAGAGCGCATCTGAGCTCCAACCAACGCCCGCCAATGCCATTTGTGGGAAGGAAGCCTCAAAGGGGGAGGGTCGCCAGGAGGAGAACGAGGAGATCCATAGAGGAAATCAAGGTCCCCGCCACCCAGCATAAGATGAGGCGAAGCACTCAAGTGATGTAGAGAACGACAGAGCAAGCCGTTGGTGGCGAGAATCAGACAACAAGTAGTATTTGCAAAGGCCAAGGGGTAGGAGGGTAGCCATACCAACAATAAGATGGGGAGGAAAGCAACCGAGGAGAGCACAAGGGCGCGTGGGGGCACGCACGGAAGCGGGTATGCTTGCATCGATGCCTTCGAGAAGGAGAGTGACGTCCACAGACGCCACCATCGATGAATAGAGCACCAAACCCGTAAGGGCTTGCGTCCTGGAACCTGCTTAGCGGGTGCAGCAAGCGTGGGGTGGCCATTGTGATAGCGGGAGCCAGAATCTGCCCCTTCACAGTGGCGCCCTCAAGAGGGACACGACGTCATTGACGCCGCCACCATCGGCTCCAGATAACTAGAGCTAAGTTTTCACCAAGAGGAGAGGGACAATACTACAGTCATGGGTTGGGCAGCCTACACATCGACGCCTCCAAGGAGGTAAACGGCGTCGGAGGGCGTCGTCGTCGGTCACACAGATAGGATCATGCATGGCTTTCGCCTAAGCTCCCCAAACCCGTGAACTATAGCCCGTCGTCTCAGGCAGAGGAGGTTCTTGACCAGGCCCTCGGCGAGGAGCGCATCCAACACCTCCTTGCGGCTGCAGTACCCGACGAGGAGCGTGGATCCGAGTGCGGGCACGCAGGGGCATGGGCCGGGCACGCACAGTGCATGGAGCTCGTCCTTGTTCTCTGCATGGTGTCCACCAGGCCGTTGAGCGCGCGCAGCGGCTCCACTAGGGATCCGGAGCCCGACGAGGACACAGACGCCACCATCGCGCCGACGGCGGGGCCCATAACAACGGACCCGACGAACACGTCCTTGTTGAAGCGCACTAGCGCTAGCACCGCGGCCACGCAGGCGTCACCCATGCGGGGTCCCCGAGCCCGGCTGCCACCACTGGGAACACACCGTGGCGGAGCAGCGCGCCTTGGAGCCGCGGGTCGAACCGCCTGCCCGTAGACAGTGCCAGCCATGCGCGCGACCATCGTTCACGTGTCGCACCGGTGTTACTGTGCACGCAGGGACAGGGAGCCGGAGTCAGCCAGACCGGCGCAGCACCGACGGGCGCCCTCGAGGGCCTCCGTCCGCACAGTTGCTGTCGTGTCATGCGCCGGCCACGCAGCGCGCCTGCCGACCGCCATCTCGCTAGATCCGGGGCAGAGGCCACCGGATACATGCCCCAGCACACCCATCGTTCGTCGGCCGCCGTGCCCGCTCAGCCCCCACGCACCAGATCTAGGGCATGGGGCACCGGATCCCGCTGGCCTTCGAAGCTCCGTGCAGCTCTAACTCCATGCCCGCTGCCAGGAGCATGGCACCGTGTAGCATGCGTCCAGCCGAGTGTGCCATGCCGCCGCTAGATCTGGGCCCAGAGAACCCAGATCCGGAGCTTTGTGTGAGCCACCATCCTTCCAATCTCTGCCACGCTGTCGTCGTCACCACCGGTGCTAGCAGTAGGGCCCGCCTCGGAGGGAGCAGATCCATGGATGCAGGCACCGTATCTGGCCTCGGAGGGCATGGGTACTCCACCACGCCGGTCCCCTCGTCTGCCATGGAAGAAGGTAGGTGTGGGAAAGATGGGAGAGTGTGGGGAAGGGAGGAGATGCAAGGGTACGGAGGCTGCCTTGTTGATCAGCACCGCAGGCCGCCGCCACCACTCGTCGGCGAGCAGCGGCGGCGGGCGAGGGAGCTCGCTGGTGGGTGTTGACGACTGTTAATGTCAATCATAAACCATTAATATACTCTACATATACACTTAATTCCATCACCAAACATAGGTATATGGTTTTAAACTAATGAATTCCATAGGTTTTGGTGAATATTTGGATGCAGGAAGATTTATCCAGAAAACAGCTCCCGGGAGCACTGTCATACACTCCAAACAAGCAAACCGATGACAACAAGTGATTCAACTCGCAAAAACTGCAAAAGTCAACTCAAGACGGAGCCCAGGACCCACCACCCGAAGGGGAGGCCCACCTGCCACAGTAGTAGGCCGACCGGCCCAGTGGTGAGGCCGGCCGGTCCATTACGGAGGCCCCTCACCCTCCGCCGCCTCGTACGTCTTCCTAAGATCTATACCCTTGATTTTAATGCGGTTTTAGGTCGGTTTATCCAACGATGATCGAGGGAGTTGACGCGGATCGATGATGTGGCGATTCCTTGCCCCCTACTCCACCTCGGCCTATATAAGGATGCCCAGACCCCCTCCAAGAGACACACATCTACACACCTTACGCGCCAGAGCTTCATTATTTCATAGCCTAATTGTATTAGTGTCCCTCTAGATGATTCTCATCTAGTTAAATTATAGAAAATAGGGAGAGAGGAGAGGAGAGAGATCTGAGGAGCAGCCGGATCTGTCGGATTCTTCTCGACTTTGTACCTCTACAGATCTGATTCATCTCTGAGTTACATCCAGGTTCTTCTATTGGTGTTTATAAGTTCTCTATTTAATTGAATTCAATCTTTACTTTATTTTACTTACTGGAACTCCGCTTGCATTGAGTGCTCTAGTCTTAAGATCAGGATTAGAGTAGTAATCATTAGCGTAGATGTGGTGTCTAGGCTAGTGTTTACCTGAGTTTACGCCCAATCTCACGGTTAATTGTGGTAGCCCCAAAGGTGACAGCTCCGTCAGACCGTTGCAATCCACCACGTTCGGATTGGTGTTTCGTAGAGCATAGGCAGCCTTTCCCTGACTATTTTTTCTCACTTCCTTCGAGAGTCGGAAAGGTACTATCGCTCCAAAATAAATAAAGTATAGTAAACCTGATCCTTAGTTCTCTAGTATAAACCATAGAAAATCCCTCTCTACCTAAAAAAAATACTTTAACTTATCTCTACTTTAGATGACCTTGATTCTTACTAGAACACTTTACGTTTCTCGTGTAAATCGACACCTTGGAATACTTCTGGGTGAAAACTACATCGGTATCCGTGCGTTTGTGGATTTTTTTCTATGTGCATTAACAAACACCAACAGTGGGGGGCCGAGTGCGGCGGCGGTGGGTGTCGCCCCTGAGTCGCCTCGGGGAGACGACATGGGGGGTTGAGCGCCAGTATTCTTTCATTTGTCTTGTACTTTCAAGCGTGTGTATATATATAACATCCATGTACAGTGATGTTTTATGGTATCAAATAATTTCTATTTATTGCAAACCTTTTCTTTCTTTGTAACTTCTTTTAAGGATTGAGCGCGGGAGAGGGTGCAAAAAGTCTCCACTTATATATATATATATATATATATATATATATATATATATATATATATATATATATATATATATATATATATATATATATATATATCATAGATGCCGATCAAGTCGGGAGTAGAAGGCAGGAGCTCGGCAGCATTGCACAAGTTCGGTGGCATGCACAAAATTTTCTAAGATTGAGTGACCAATTGAGAAATTAAGTCAATCATGTCTATGTCAATGATCTTGCTGAAGGAAGCGATGTTAGATTTTTTTTTTCAAGATCTTCACAGGGCAGTTTTGGAGGGACATCGGCCGGAGTGCACCTACACTTGTGGCGCCGAGCTACTTGGGTATGAGAACTATGAACA